AATCTGTGTCCGTATCTCCCCCATCTCCATCTGATTCGGACCACGCACATTTTTGGAGCGCTGCTCTCGAAATGAACTAGAATTTGGCGTGCGTGGGGGCGACTGAGGGGTTAAAACAACAACGAATGTGATGTGACTGCGGCTAAAATGTTTTTATGCAGTTCGCTTAATGTGTTTTGGCCATAAACCAACTGACAACTGGGCAAAACACAGCTAAAAATCCATGGATTTCGGCGTGAAAATTCCGGAGAGTGGCAGAGTGAGTCCCAAATGGCAACGATAACAAGTGAAAATTCCCCGGGGGCTTGTTTCTTCTTCTTCTCCTCTCCCACAAAATTAGGAATCATTCTCAAAACTTTTGTCACTGCCCCGCGTTTATTTGTTTTGTGGCCGCCTAATTGCATTTTCAACATTCGCCTGCACACTCCCGTATTTATATTGTAATTGAAATCGCATTGGGGTCGGTGTTGCCACGGCTTTGGCCATGACGACTTTATTTGGGAGAGGCACTTCCTCTCCTTCATGTTCTCGGTTCTTTTTTTGTTTTGCAGGCTAGAAAATCAAGTCGAGTTGTTTTAGCCATCTATTTTTATGGGAAACTATTGCATTGAGTAATGAGTGTCATGAATGAAAAAAAGAGTTCAACTTGAGCCATTATAAAAAGCTGTAAGACAAGTCATGTTCATTTGTCAGAGACTTTTGCATGGTTAACTATATTTTAATTACATTACCACATGCAAGCCAGCACATGGGAAAAAAGCATTATAAATAATCTGCAGAATGGATTCTTAAAGTTATAAATATTTTAATAATTATCATAAAATCAGAATATATCTCTAAAGAACTTTAAAATTACGTAAACGTATCTTATTGCTAAAAATGATGCTTTCCCCTCAGTGTGATTGGAAATTCAATTTCCATCTCGAGTTTCTAGAAAATCCCAAAGCTTATGGTAACATAAAATTATTACCCATGTGCAAGTGGTCAATAAGAACATTTTTCAAAGGATTTATAAAGCCCAAAGTTGGAAGGCAGATCTAATAAGCCTTCAGTAGCTCCGGATGGGACGACAGTATAAATCTGACACGTTGTTGTCCCAAAATTAATTCCGTACGAGCCACTTGGGTGCAAGACTCTCTGACTGGAAATTGGCCACAGCAACAGCGGCCAGATGGCAGATGAGCCATGGCAAAACATTTTAGTGCCCCGCAGGGGGGATAGGATGCAGCACACACAGACAACTTATATTAATTAATGCAAAATTGCATTACGCATACGCACAGGTGTGCAAAGCGAGCAAGAGACTCCTGTGCCTGTTGTTGTGGTTGCCCAAAACATAAAAAAGAGTCGTAAAATAAAAACAAGACAACTTTTTTGACAATATAGAAAGCAACAAGCTAGTGGAAAAATAAACAAAACTATATCATAGAGAGGTGGAGAAAAGGTAATAAAAAATCTACCTAACGAAAGGAATTGTAATTATCAGAAGTATATTTAAAATTTCTTTAATAAATTTAATGTAATTAATTGATATAAAAATAAAAATATTTAAAATAATATATAAAGAAATATTTTTCATCCCTGCCTTGGCTGCCCTGCCCAAACAACTAGACCTTCCCTGCATCCATGTTGCCACTTAAGTCCGACCCGCTCTCCCATGCAAATTATCTGCCCCACAGCTCTGATTTGGCCCGTACTTTCAGACACTTATTGTGCGACTGTCGATGTCGTGGCCCGAGCTCCCAAAGTCTGGCAGAGATTTCTGGTCGACATGACAACCGGCTACTTGCAACTAGCAACTTGCAACACATGCCGCCGCACAGGACACGAAAGCGATGCTAAGACCGAGACAAACCAATCCCAAAACAGGCCAGGAATGGCGAAATCGAACAAATCACACAATTACCAATATTCCATGCCAGTGATTAGTCCCATGGCAAAGGCTTATTCCAAAGACTAACACAAAATTAATTCCCCCTGAAATTATAACTCATATTGATGAGTGCTGGGCTGTGACTCTGACTCCTTTCTAAAAACAATCCTTTGGCTGGCTTTATTAATTTCAAATGCTTTCCGGGCTTGACTTTTAGAATATTCTGAATGGAAATCAAGACCATAAAAGGTTATAAAGTAGACTGCAAATTTGAATAAAGAGATATGAAAGGCGAAGGATTAGAAACCAGTATTAAGTTTTCAAAAGACACTTCTATAATAGAACCTAATCCAAGAATGATAAAGCTGGAAGATTTGGTTATTTTAGGAACAATTATGTTCCATGTTTCACTAAATAAACAATTTCTAAAAATGTTTTTTCTTACCATAATTTATTGCCCACAAAAATCGATCAAATACATATATATATATTGTATTATCTATCATGTACAAAAAATAGTCACTGCTTTTGTAAATGTAAGTAAATCCAAATGATATAATTTCACGTCTTGTCAAATAACTTTAATTTTGAGTAGGCTTTTTTCTACATTTTATTAAAGGAAACATAAAAAGCACACTCTTGATAAAATCCGTTAAGGCTTTAAATGTTTATTTGGCTTTAAGCTGCTTTTACTAGAGTTCAACGACTTGAGGCGTCATACAACGAAACCTAATCCGCAAAGTCGCTAAAAATCATTACGAATTTGGTTTATGCTAACGAAAAGAGATTGAAGGCTAAATTTTAGTAAAGAGAAGGAAAGAACCCACGGATACGGCTTGTAAAATAAATATTTCAAAATTATGAATTAGATGTTAGATGTCTTTAAATAATTAAGATCGAATTTAGTTTGGGAATGTCTAGAAACACTTGCTCTAAAACTGACTCACTCTCTCAGGCAGGGTTGAGTGGGCATCACTACAGTCTTTCTAGGTATTTTTGTGTGCCTCTGCCGTCGACTGCCTATCTCGGCTCACTAAACACGGCCAACAGAGGCGGAGAGTGTGGCCAACAATGCACACGATAAAATAACAACAAAAACAAACGGTGCTTGGCCATATGCAGCAGGGAAAAAGCTAGATGCAAACAAAAAAAATTTGTTTGAAAATTTACCTAATGCTATTTTATAATAGTTTTTCTTTTTTTAACGGTTATGACAGCGCATACTTTGTTTCTGTGGTCAGGCTTCGCTGGGTCTCGGCTACAAGACTTTTCTTATTAATTGCGATTGCACAATATCGACTTTATTGGATGGGAATGTCGTTTAATTTTGAATGGGAATAGTACAATTTACCTAAAATATTTAAATTGTTTCATTTAAATTCGTTAAATAGCTCTCAGCAACTTTGTTTTCTCAACTGAACTTTTCTTTTTAAGCTCTTTTTACAACTCATTGAAAACTCGCGCACATTGAATGCCCAGAACAAAAGTGATAGAGTTTAATCACATATCCTGAGGATTGATTTTAATTCCCTGCATTCATAAATCGAGTCCGAATAGTAAATAAAAAAAAAGACGAATTGGACTTGTTGATACAAAATTGCTATATAAATATGGGGAGTGTTTCAGACATTCATCTGAAATGTACTAGTGAATTTCTGCGATAACTTCAATTTACATCTATCAGTGAAACCATCGCACGCCACGACTCTTTTCATTCTACTTTTAATGGATGGCGGTGTGGTTCCTCGGCATGATGACATGATCAAGAACCCCCTTAGGGCGTTGCTGGCTGAGGCTGCTCGGTGCATCGCAGCCAGGCGCAGTTGCAGATCTCGCGCAAATTCCAGCGGGCATGCGCCTCTGGCTCCAGCAGCACCGAAACCGTAGCCTTTGCCTGCATCGAAATCACATCCTGCAGCTTGCGGCGGAAGGCGAATTTGCGATTGCGCTGGGCCTCCAGCAACTTGGTCAGGTTGCTGTCATCGAACGGCATCTTGGCATTTATCATGATGAACAGTATGACGCCCAGGGACCAGGCATCGGCCGATTTGGGGTCATAGGGTCGTCCGCACACAACCTCTGGTGCGGCATAGGCCGCCGATCCGCAGTACGTCTCCGACTTCATCTCCCGACCGCCATCGTCGCGGCAGAAGCGAGCGAACCCAAAGTCGGCCAGCTTGATGTTGAGACGCTTGGAGAGCAGTATATTCTCGCACTTGAGATCCCGGTGGGCAATGTCAATGCTGTGCAGATACTTCAGGGCCTTGGACATCTGCAGGAACCAGATCTTGCACTGCTTCTCCTCAATGGGGCCGTTCTTCTTGATGTGCGACAGCAGGTCTCCGTGCTCGGCGTAACGCATGAAGATGAAGATCTTGGGGCCGCGCTGCAGGATGCTGTGGATCTGTATGATGTTCTCGTGATCGATCTTGGTGAGGATATCCAGTTCGCGCGGAAAGAACTTGTTCACAAAGTCCGCGGGCGCCTTGGCCTTGTCGATGATCTTGCAGGCCAAGTGTACGCCGTGTCCGGCATCATCGGCATATCCGGCTGTGATAACCGTGGCGTACGATCCTTCGCCGATCTTGTGACCGACATTATAGCCTCGCTGAGCCAGCGCGTCCACATCGGAGCTGCGCGTGATCAGCTGGCGATTCCCAGAGCTTAATTTGGACATGTTGGGCAGAGTTGACGTGCGTGCTTGCGTGTAGTGTGTCCAACTGGTGGATGGTGTGGGCCACATTAACGATCAATGGCCGTTATTCGAAAGACGGGAGAATATTTACCTTTTACTTTGGATGATTTCTCAAACTATAATTTACAGATACTCTATTTCACTGAATCTACTTAATTTTGACAAGCCCTCAAATCATACAAAGTGAAAAATATACAAATGCCTTGGGAACTGTTGTGACAAGGAATTTTTTCTTGCAATAAACAAGGAATACTGAGGTCTTACAAAGCAAACAAAAACTTTGAATTACTAAAATAACTGGAATTTGACTAGTTTTTAACAGTTTTCGAATTATTAAATTGAATATAGGTCCCTTAAAATATAATATAATATATATTAATCCCTTCAAGTATAAACAAAATCCACTAAACTTTTATATCTTATAAATTACAGTTTCCAACCTACTGGTCTTTGGCCAAGCTTCCACTGGTTCCCCTGAACTTGGCAGGAAACCACGCGGCAGCCACAACACCAGCATCATCAGCGACTCAGATCTAAGCGCTTCGGAGCGAAGTCGTCGCCTGATACCCTATATGGCCTTTTATTTGCCCGCCCCCGAATTGCCCATCAATCAGCAATATGCAAGCACCAAGCACTCATCGTCAGCTGGCGGGGCACAGCTTCAGGCACCGCCGCCGGGACCAGGAAGGATCCCAGTACCGGTGGCCTATATGCCGCAGCAGCAAAAGCATCATCCCCATCACCTTGGACCGCCACATCCGCCGCCTGCAACGCACTATCAGTCGGGAGCAGCCGAGGTGTACCACAGCATGGCCATTGGCAGCCACCAGCAGTCACATTCACATCCGCATTCGCATCCATATCCCCACTCACATCCTCCACCTGGCCAAGTCAAGGAGCAGCAGCCGCCTCTAACCGATTCGGGTGCCACTTTTATTGCCTACAAGCCATTGAACCCATCGCACAAGGCAAGTCAATAACCAATTTTACACTTTCCAAAGAGTAGCTTGAGTTTGTTAAACCTTTTACTTTTAGGGAAAGTATTATAAGATTATTTTTGAAGTCCTTTTCCTAACATAATTTTAGCTAAAAACCAACAAGATATTTTTGGCAAGGGGTTCTTGCGAAGTAGGTTAGTTCAAAGAACACTTAAGAAGAATATAGCATGCCTTAAAATTCCCAACTGGAAAGTTGGAGACCCTCAAAATCCTAATTTTTAATTTTGAAAAAACATCTCACTTAAAATCCTAGCAAAAATACCATTTATGAAAACTTTTATATTTAAAAATATCTCTTTTAATATTCCAATATTTCCAAATTTTACTTAGTTTTCCTTTTTTTTCATATAAGTTTGATATATCAAACAGAATATTGATTTATAGAAATTTATCGCAACGTTTAAAAAGGATTTTTCTGTCATCACTAATTTTGTACTGATTTTTACAAAACACCAGAAAAAAACACATTTAAACGTTAGCTTTTTGTCTATTTTTGGTTAAGTTAGCTTATGATGAAAGAATAAATGAATTAGTCATACAGATATTGTATTTAAACAAGTATTTTTCTACTAATATAACAACAAGTTGGTTATATTCTTACTAAACTATCAGCGAGAGTATTAAACAAGTTACGCGACGACTATCACTTTTAGTCTTTCTCTATTACAATGCAGTTCATAGATCATAAATAAGCATAAGTAATCACGAAATTCATAATTTACACGCACACAGCACAAGACGGTGCAGCATTTCCCGCCACTGCCGCCGCCAAAGGAGCAAGTGCAGCAGCAACCACAGCAGCACCACCTTCTTCTCCAGCACCACCACCATCAGCAACACCACCACCAACAACAACAACAGCCACAACAATTTGAGATGCTATCACCGGGTTTGGTGGCATCATCCCAGTTGCAGCGTCAGCGTGGCAAACAATCAAAAATCAATTTAACGCCATTTACAGCAAAGAACACATTGCCGGGACAGTTTATACCCATTATTTATACGCCAGTGAGCAGCAAGCCCGGCTCCGGCAGTCCCATCAATTACAATAACATCAATAATGGCAACCTGAAGCAGCCAGAAATCGTCTACCAAGCAGCAGTGCCGCATAAAAATTCCCATCAAACACAAATCGTTGGAGTTCTTGCCTCAGCCGAGCAGCAGCCGCAGCCGCCGTCACCATCCGCATCTTCCGAGGAGGAAAAGAGTGTGGAAGCGGAGGAGGAGCAGCAGCAACAGCAGCAGGAGGATCATAGAGGCTCCGAAGAGGCAGTGGAGGGGGAGGAGCAAAAGCAGCAGCCAACTCCAAGGTAAGATTTATTAGCAAATACTTGTGATGCGAAAGCTCAAATGTAAGTCAATCTGCGATCATATGGGTATATACTACTCCTCGTAGTAGTTCTCACAGCCACGCCCACTTATATAGCGTGAGGTGCCCCACTGTCAATTGCAATATTGCATGTAGTGTATAGTGTAATTAAAAGTGTTGCTACCATTGTCAGCTTCATAACCGATTTATGTCATCGACACAGCAACGACTTTGGCCAAGCATCCGAAGCGAGTGTCTCACATATTCATAACAACATTTATATCATTTTTTAAATTACCAAAAGTAACTTAAATTATAAATTATTACTTTGAAATTCTTTAAAAGGGTTTAATTTAAGCTTGAACAGAACCCTTTTTTTTCATATTTGGAATATTCAGAAGTTCTATTATGTGAACATATAGGGGTATCGAAGTTTATGAGTATAGTTTCCTTTTTTTATACGAATTTAACATTTGAACTGGAAATAAATCCATTTCCACTGAATCAAGTTGATCTAAAAAAATAATCCAAAATAAACCGATTTACATCGAAAATTGAAATATTTAAAATTCTAAATTTATTTTCATCATAGATTTGTGAACTTACTTATGTTAAAACAGTTCAACTTTAAACTTAACTTTTCAACGAGTTCAAATACGCATAGAACTTTTTCGATTAAATCGAATCTAAAAATTTAAACCCATGTATCGCATAATTAAGAAAAAACGATTAATCGATTATATAATCGAATTTATTTCCAGCTCTATTCAACGATTGAAACAGTATTTTAAAATTGTAAAAATTTAAAATTTCTGAAATTGTAAAATGTTTTTTACCTACGCGATAAAGAAACTTTAAATTATTGCATTGAAGTAAATCTTGAAACGAAACTCGGTCTGAGTCTGGGGCAGATACTGTTGCATGCACAACATACCCTTGGGCAGAAAAATCAATTGCACTTAATGCACTGGACTCAATCCACAATCTCCTTCTCCAGCTTCGGCTGCTCTTCTCCAACAAGCTCCCAATCTGGGCCTTCCTCCTTCGTCACCATCTTTGCAGCCGCCGACAACGGAGGTGACGTAAGATCCATGACGACATCGAATTGCGACTGGAATTGCAGTTCGATGTACACAGGAGGCACTGCCAGTGGGCATAAAGTGGGCAGAGATGCGACCTGGACAATGTCTCATATACATATATACCTCTGCCCCCTGTGTTCTTGTAGTAATTGTCAAATTGCAAATTCATGTCATAAATAGCCAAAGGGGTTCAGGTCAAAAATCTGTCATACAATTATTGGCCAGGAGAAGGGTAGCAACAAAAGCATTCAGAGAAGATTTTTACAACCACCCTGATGTCTGCCTTGGTGAATCACACTCTTGTTTTCACTCTTGTTTCGATTTAAGTGGTTAAATTAATTATTTATCAAGTAGTAGAGTACCTATATTTCGGTCAATTAATCAACTTTCTCATAGGAGAAATCATTCCGAAATAAAAATTTATAAGGAAAGTCAGTCAAGCAACAGGACTACAAATATACAAATTAATCTCTCATATCATATTTGTGCTTACATTCAACTCCATAACTGCTTTGCATGATGATGACCCACCCACAGCATTGGCTATGCTTCCGTGTCGGTACCCGATACAAGTTCAGTTACCACCGCCACCACATCTAGCAAAACCGCCTTGATACTACATCAAAAATCGCCGACATTTGGCGGGCATGTGAGTAAATACGAGAGTTACTTCAACATGGCCCCGCCCACACATTCGCAGCATCCGCACCTGACGCCTCAGGAGAAATACGTGCTTTACTTACAACAGCGCATGAAACACCAAAAGCATCAGCAGCAACTGCAGCAGCAGCAGCAGCACCAGAATTACGACTTTCCACATCCGGTGGTGGTGCCAGCACAAAGCAGTAATACACTGGCCGGTAGCCACCATCCTGCAAACACCCATCTGCATCAACCCCATCAGCAGCAAACACCTCATCATCCCCAGACACAGATCCATCATCCAAACAAGTACGACGATGCCCTGTATGTGCGGCCGGATGCAACTGCTGGCCAACAGGTGCTGCACATTCCGTTGCGCGCCCTCATGGCCCACGTCCAAGAGCAGACGCATTCGGAGTCGCAATATGCCAAGGATGAGACGCTGGGGTAAGCCACTGGATATCCAGAGGAAAGGGATCTGATTCAAATCAAGATATCAATTTTGTTTTCAATAAACTCTTCACAGTCTCTAATTTTCATCATGCCTAAAACTGAATAACAAAACTAAACTAATTTGCTGAAATTATTACTTCTTCAGCTCCCCAGCACCGGCGCAGTTTATTGATTATCTGATTGACGGCCCTCGACAGTCGCTGGATGAAGACCAGCAGCAGCAGCAGCAGCATCAACAGCAGCACGAGCGTCCTTCGGTCCATCATCCTTCGCCCCAGCATGCTTACATTTTGGTGACCACAACAGCTCCTCATATTGAACACCAACCTGCGCCACAGATTCACCCGGAGATTTCCTCCACCCCAAGGCCTCAAATTTTGTACAAGCAACAGCCCACACTTCGATTACAGCCAGTGCATACCTACAAGGCCACCCGACGTCCCATTTACGTGACCGCACCCCCGCCAGCTGGTCCTCCCACGCCTAGTCACACAGTGGAGATTACTCCAAAATATGTTTATGTTTCAGGAAAGCCACCAAGTGGCTCAGAGGTGGCGCAGCGGGAACCCTCGACAGTGACACCCATTAAATTAAAGCCCGTTTTCAAGTACGCTCACGAGCGTCCTCCATTAACGCCCGCATATGTTCACGGAAATGAGGATGATCAGTTGCCCGATATTCGTACCTCATCGCTGGCCGAGATCTTGCACAAGCTTCAAGCGAGCAATCATCTCCCACAAACACTGACACCCGACAATATAGACAACTCCATTAAGACCCTGATACGGATATTGCAAAACCTAAAGCAAACCCAAACGATTGTGGCAAATCCACCGCAGCATCACGAGCAAGAGGATCACAAATCCCAGGACTATGACTACAACAGCGAAGATGATCACCATACAACGTCGACGGGATCCGAGGAGGAGACAGTTTCCAAACTAAAGGGGCCAAGTGGGTATATATTTTAGACAAAATAATACTTAATATAATAATTTTAATTATAAATAGATAAGCATCCTGGACCAAGTACAGGAAGGCCAGGTATCGATTATCCCAACTACGCAGAGATCCCCAAGACAAGCTTCGAGTGCACCCAGCAACGCTACAAGGGATTCTTTGGGGATCCAGATACCAACTGCCAAGTCTGGCACTATTGCGATCTCAATGGCGGCAAGGCATCGTTCCTGTGCCCCAATGGAACCATATTCAGTCAGGTGGGAGAACTTTCTAGAACTGGAACTATACTGGATTATACTATAAAACAGGTTCTTGGAACCAAGAAACGGAATAGTTTTTGTTGCGCTGAACTCAAATAATAATAATATAATCGCTACAACTTTTAAAACTTTTTTCCTTCTTTCAGATTGCTCTGACTTGCGACTGGTGGTTCAATGTGAAATGTTCCACTACTTCTCAACTTTATGTGCTAAATGAGCGACTCTACAAGTACATACTGCCCTTTAATCCCAAGTTTCCCGAGGACTACAATGGACCCATTGTAGATAAGTAAGATTTTGACAAAAATCAATATATAAATTCATATAAATAACCTGATTTATATGCAGATACCTGGCCATGAAGTTTCAGGAAATGGAAGAGAAAATGCGGCAGGAGAAGCAACGCAAGGCTGCTCAGCAGGCGGAGAAACCAGTCGAGGTCTCATCGTCTACTCCATCCCTGCCCAAAAACCATAAGCCAGAACCCAAACATATTGGCAGTGGAATTAACGCTCAGGTGTATGAACAAAGCTCGGAGCGAAATCTATTAATTGATGACGAGATTGATGACATTTCGGAGCGTGGCAGCTACGACACCTTTGAACAATCGCAACCAACCACTATAATGGCTCCTACAAGCACACAGGAAGATACAAAATCCTATGTCCTCAAGCCAATTGTGGTGTCATCTACACCGCAACCGGTGCCACAAATCGATTTCGAAGTGGAACCCACAGCACCGGAAAGCAGCGAAGAAGAGGATAAGCTGCAGAGTTTAAGGGAGACTAAGGAGGCCGAAAAGAAACTGGGGCGAGAGACGACTAAAGTTAGCGTGGAAAAGCTGGAGGTTATTGAGATTAAGACCGATGGAAATACCGGACAACTGATGCCCATCAAGCGTAGCAGCAGCAGTAGCAAATGAGCAGCAATCAGTGGAAGGGAAGTAAGGAAGAGCTTGCCATATTTGTAATGAAAAATTCGTCCCTAAATTATTGTTTAGCGAGCAAGTACTGTAAATAGCTAGCCGTAAATGCAACTGTATACATATACCTACCTATAGCTATAGTTGAAATAAATAAATCTGACTAGTAAGTAAAAGAAATCGAAGATAGGACTCACCTCCTGGCCATTTTGGATGTTCATCAGAGCTAACTTTAACGACTGCAAGGTGCTAGGTATTTCCGACTGCAAGCGTTGATTCTAGAGGAAAAGGTACATTTTATAAAGTTGTGGCAAATTATTAGTATCGATTCTTATTCCCAGCTCTAAATTTCACTCACCTTCTGGTACAGCGGCTGCGTTTTATGACTATTGTGATGTACACTCGAACACTTCGCGCAATGGCAGCGTTTACAATTGAAACAGAATACATTCATGGGCAGGCTATGCAAATGACATTCCCTCTGAACCGGCATGTTGAACATTTGGTTGCCTATAAAAAATCCTTTCAGCGGTCCGTTGCTCAACTTCTGGAATTTGTGCGTTTGCAGCACACGACTGTGCTTATGGATACTCGCGAAGCAGAGGCTGCAATAGAAGGCATTGCATTCCAAACACTCGCCCATGTCGTCGCCATTACGGCATTCACTGCACAAGGTGGCCTGGCTGATCACTTCGTTGGCCAAACTGTGGGTCAGCGTTTCGTTGACCGGCTCTGTGTCCAAGCTACGGAATGAAATGAGACTGCTGGCCTCTCCCAGCACATGATAGTTGAGTTCGTAGAAGTCGCACACACGCACGCGGAAGCTGCTTGCAGCCAAGTTTTTGGCATTGATCAATGGAGGAGCTGGCTCCTGGCACACGGCACATGTCAAATGTTGGAGGTCCTTTGACAAACAGTTCTCGCACAGGCTATGGCCACATGGCAAAAGGAAGGGACGATGATTCTCTGGGGAATTCGAGAGAAGGTAAATCGTCAGACAATAAATACTAAAATGCAATTTGAATTTAATGTTTGTATTTGTAGATTTATCAATATTTTGATCTACTCTTTAAAGCTCTATTTACTTATATTTTTATTGATTTTTAATCCTTAAACCACTTACATATGGTACTTAAAAATAAATAAACGTACATATATACTGAATACGCCACGTTTCCTTAATTTTTAATAATTTTTGTATTTTTTAAACACATGTATTTATGAATGTACGTATGTTTGTGTGCATGGAAATCGTCAATGTTTAGAAGATGTTGTGAAAGAGAACTGGAAAAAAACTATGGAGGAACATGATCCGTTATGTAGAAAATTAGAGATGCGAAATTTTATTTCAAAAGAAAAGGATATAATATTATATTTTAATATATTAAATCAGTAGTTAATGATAAGTAAATCATTAATTCTAGTTATTTGTGTAAATATTTAGTTAATATTTCATTGGCTAACTGTGTTTAACTCTTTCTCTTTCTCATCTTGCATGCGAACACTAGCATACCCACACACAAACATAGTCACACGTATGAGCATGCAAAAAAAAAAACAGGCTTGCGCCCGAAAAGTCTCAAAATGTTCACAAATCGAAACATTCAATGAAAACTGCACAAGTTTTGTATTTTATAAATTAAACTAAATGAGGTTAATTGTACTTACGATCTCCCTGGGAATTTGTGTAGTTTTTCGAGCATTTGGGACAGTGCAGCAGATTCTTCAAATTGGACGCCACAAATTTACGATCGAAATGCTTTACACCGCGGAGGTCCGCCATTATTCCGATCGTAGTTCAGCTATATATCTATGTATAGTCTCTAGTTTAAGCTAATCTAAAGCGTATTTTTGTTACTTTTTACAACTTATTCGCGAAAACGACTCGGCGAAAAGCGTTTTCCTTGCGACGAAGGAGGACGCCAGTGTTGCTAAACGAAAATGTGGTCTTCTTCCTAAAAAATACCGAAATTTTGACATTTCAAGGTGTCCTCCAAAATTCAAAAATCGATTAATCGGAAGAATAACAACGATATATTATGCGATTATAAAGCTATGAATTAATTAAACTATAAAAAAATATGTGGGATAAATTATTAACATGGTTTGGTTTAAAAATTTATTAAAATTTATTTATATAAAAAACTAATACAATGTGATTCATATATCTTCGTGCAGAAATGGCTTTTTTCGATAAGCTTTTGCACTGCCAACCAAACAATGGCTGATTGATTTGACACTTCGTGGTGCTGCCACTTTTATTGAAGCTGTTTTTAAACTTTTCGAGGGTTTAGTAAAATAAACGCGTAAATTAAAGACGAATTCGGTCTTTTCCACAGTTAAATATCATTTCCTTATTATATATTATATTTTAGGACTGTAAAATACATTAAGCGAGCCAGAATCTTCACGGGTTTCCTCTAGAAATGCATTTTTTCAATAGATTTGATCAATAAGGTAGAATTTAAAGTTTAAATTTTAAACTTTAGTCCAAGTCGGGCAGCGCAGGAAGTTATATGGGACGGTGGTAACAATACTTAACTAATACTTACTTTCCTCATTTGAATAAAATTTGCAATCAAATAAAATCCATCTCACAATACCTTTATTAAAACATATACCATACAATTTAAGCCCCAAACCATTTTTATCCAACAAAAAAATGTTTTGTTAATGTTTCGATTGAAACTCCATAATTATCCGAACATGGAATCCATAATGGTATTCTGGCGCTGGCGACGATTGGATTCGTCCTGTTTGTACCTGCGCAGCTCCTCGTAGACCTCATCATCCGTTTCCAATTCGTAGCGACACAAAGGACATGAGTTGGTCTGAAGAGTTAAGAATTAAATAATAAGAACATATATAACAATTTAACATGTAATTTAATATAAAATAAAAAATTAAATCTTTTTAAATTCAATTAAAATTGTACCTATTCCCCCGACCGTTATTACTATCCAAGGACTTACTTTCTTTAGCCAAAGCAGGATGCACTCCTCATGAAACTCGTGCTTGCATGGCAAAATCTTGTATTTCTCGCCCGCTGTTGCAGGCTCCTTGCACACGGAACACTCCAGCTCACCACCCTCCTCCGATTCCAGGATCACGTGGACAGGAAGCTCTGCAATCGCTCGCCTGGATGCCTCCGGCACCTCGATCTCCACATCGATCCCGTGCATGACGGCTAGGACCTGTAGACGCTTATAGTTTCGGTCAAAGTCATTGGCACCCTCCGGACCGGTGGGTTCGTGTCCCAGTTCTTCGAAATAGTCAGACATGGTGATTGCTGTAAATGTCGTAGCATAAAGAGCGAAGTTGATAACTTTGGACAGTAATATCCCTAGATCCTAGATGTTTTTGCCGGAATTTTAATCTTGATAAGGTTGATATCTCTATCTAAAATATGTATCGATGCTAGCGGATTTGGTTTCGCCTTGGCAGAAATCGAAGGAATTTTGTTTCCAGACCCCAAAATTTGACTTTCGGTGCTGTAAATCAAAATTATAATACAAAACCATCCCATAATCTAGTTTGATTTCAGCAACACTTTAGTTCTTTTAGGAGCCAAACGTGATTTTTATTTCAAACTCGAGTTTCTCGTATACAATTGATAACAAATCAATCTGGGCTAAGGACTCCATAATACAATAAACTTTATAGATTCAGTGTTATGGCTAAGTATCTAAGAGGTCTTTTTTTGCATTTAAAACGTTTGCAAATAGTGTTTTTTATCCTTTTTCGTTTTCTAAGACTAGAAATACTAGCTCTAGTTGCAGTTAAAAAGTCTAAAATTACAGGCATATACTGGCTTTCTCGTTTAAGTGAGCTTAGTTAGGCATATAGACCACACAGTTGGGCTTGTCAATGTTCTACTCAGGAGGAGCTTACTGTACCATTTAATAATAATATCTTAGAGCTTTCAAGCTATGAGGATAATTTTTTGTTGAGCTTCATAAAGATGAAAAGTTGCAGAAAGTTCTTGTTTTCCTTAAGTTGGAAATTTTTAGAATTAAAAGTTGAAAGCCCCAACACATTTAAACTATTTTACCAACTCTGTTGGTGAAACTTAATAATTATTTTTAATATATTAATAAATAATAATTTACTTTTGTGTTTAGTATAATTATTTCCCCAACCAATTTCCATTACCAACATAAAGAGCAGCCAATAAAAACACAAAATGTTAATTCCTTTTTCGTTTCTTTTTTTTGTGGTGTTCTTCTTTACTAATATGTTTTTAAATAATATTCATTGTATTTTAAAGTAATTGATTTACGATTTACTTCAAGGTAGTTGTTACAGAGCTTGAATTTTAATTTCTACTTTTTTTTTCTCTGCCCTCCTCTGCGATCTTAACCAAAGATATATAGAGCAGAAAGGTAAAATATAATAAAGTAAAATAATAAAATAATAAGAGTAAAACAAAAACAAGACTTAGGCGCTAGGCTTTACAAATTAGTAGTTTACGATTGCTAGAGAATAAATTAAAGGCGCCTGGCGGGGATACATAGGTGCGATTGGTAGTAAATGATGTATTATATAGAGGCAGGACTACATCAGGATCTATCTACTGATTTCTTTCTATAGATATATATGTGTGTTTTGGGTGTATATGTACAGGAGCTACTTAAAGACAAACGAAAACGAATAAGTACACGATTCTTTTAATTACTTTAGCTACTTTAGTGGGGGGCGAGGAGGAGGAAAAGGGTCGGTTGGGCACATGGACTTAATTACAATGCGCATTTAGGATTTCTGTTTTTTAGAAGGTAAGGCAATTTATATATAAAACTTTAGGCCGAGGTCGATTTTCAGTGGTTGAAACATAATATTAGGAACAGAAAGTAGCCGATTTAATCGCTCTAAGGTTTATATCCAGAACATACAAATCAATACATATGCTTAGACTTTCTTTTTTCATTAAAAACCTTTCGCTATTAAAATATATTTCATTTAAAGAATATTTGTAGTAAGAAAATTAAATTCAAATTATATTCCAAACCATTCTAATTAAATTAGAAATGGGGCTGACATTTTAAAAGGGGGAGGCAAATATATATATTTATATATATAGTAGCTTATTTTAAACCAAAATTTCCTTTCCGCTCCTAACCCAAGTCGTTGTCAACCGGAAATCGACGCATCCTATTAAATCCATAACATATATGTGTTTATGGAGTTTTCTCTATATATAGTAAACGATCGGGGCTCGTGTTAAGATCTATCACTAGCATATACAGTTAGTTCTAGAGTCTAGTGCTAAAAGCAGCAGCAGTTGGGAGAATCCAGATCCCGCCGAACCCTCCTGGCCTGGCCTTACGTATCATCATCAGACTGGCTTGTTTGTTTTCTTTTTTTTTCCTAACAGAGATGGTGCTGTGTGAAGGTTTTGTTGGGGGTTGCTGTTGTGATGGATTGGGGTTGGCCTTCATCCGTGATCCTTGGCTCCATTAACCACGGCTAATATTTAATCACTATTAGTCTGTAATGGAAATTTGCGCATAGCCCACCAATGATCGTTCGTCGGGCACTTCGCCCGGCTGCACGCCGGAACTTAATTGGAAAGTAATCGTTTTCATCGTGGCACTGGCGGCTATCAGTTGATCCAGATGCTGGGCCATTGGTTGGGTATCCAATGCGTCCACTAAGCCGGCATCTACCAGCTCTGTGGCTATACCTTCGGCAGTGTCCTTGCCCACCACAAATTCGAACCGAATGTCGTGGAGCTCGCGTCGCAAGTTGCGCATGCGCAGGACAAGATTGACGGGTGGTGCCTCACCGGCCGACTCGCTGGGCATTGGTAATTGAGCCAGGCCAGCTGTCACCTCCTGGGTGGCTGGGATAGCAGCAGCAGCAGCAGCAGCTCCTGGTGTCATTGTGGCGGAGGAAACGCTGTGCGTTATCTCTGGCGACGGTTCTTCCCTATCGCTGTCCGAGGAATCTGCTCTCTCCAAACGGTTGATGGGCCTGTCCTCCGAATCAGAGTCCGAAGATGGCTGTTTTCTACCACCACCCGAGCCTGAACCGGAGCCGGCAGAGCCACCGTTATCCTCCTCTTCGCTGGACCAAACCCATTCGCCGGTCACAGTGCGATGGAGGCGACCCGAGGCACCGGGCTGTCTTTTCGCCGCCTTGTGCACCCTGGTCTCCATGCTGGGTCCGGACTGCAGCAGGGTCTGGGTGAGATACTTGCGATCCTTGGCCTTCTTGAAGAAGGCATGCTTCAGCAGTTCACTGGCCGTTGGCCTCTTCGATGGCTCCTTCTGCAAACACTCGACGATCATCTTGCGGAATGTCTTGCCGTAGGCCTTATACTGGTCCTTGTCGTCCGCACCCGTGTCCAAAGTGGGCGGATCGTTTTGCAGGGTCAGCATTAGCACTTTCATTGGGGGATACTTGTGGTAGGGTGCCGTTCCGGTGGCCATTTCAATAGCCGTGATTCCAAAGGACCAGATGTCCGCCTTGAAGTCATAGCCATGATCCTGCTCCATCACCTCGGGCGCCATCCAACAGGGAGTGCCTACAAATGTGTGACGCACCTTCTGCCTGGACAGATCTCGGCCAGTGGCCAACCAAGCGCTCACACCAAAATCTGCGATTTGAATGGTGCCATCATCGCCAATTAGGATATTTCCGGCCTTAATGTCCCGATGGATTTGTCCGTTTGAGTGGAAGTACTCAAGTCCTTTGAGCACCTCCTTGAGAACCGTGGCAATGGTGGCTTCATCGAAGACCCCCTGTTTGCAATTGGACGTCCGCATCTTGTGCTTGATGATGTCCAACAGGGAGCCACCCTCGAGGAGTCTCAGGACCAGCCAGAGTTCCTCCCTCACCACAAACGAGGTGTGATAGGTCACAACATTCTCGTGATTGCACGAGGACATCGCCTGGATCTCCTTGAGCAGCTCGTCCATCGATGTGTTCCACTTTTCCAGGTTGATGCGCTTAATGGCGCACTTCTCATTTCGCGGAATACAGTAGGCGCCATGGACAACGGCTGTGGCTCCCACGCCAATAACATCTCTCAGCTCGTAGTCGTCTTTGGAGTTGGGCCACGGCTGTTTCTCGGGCACTGCCGCAGCTCCCGGCATGGTAGCTGCTCCGGCCACATTATTGCTGGATAGATTGGCAGGTATGGAGGTCATGCTCCTGCTTCCAGTTCCGTTTCCAGCGGTGGTGGTGTTGGTGGTGTGTGGCGGCGGGGTACCTGGTCGTCGTCGGTTATTGATAGCCGGCTGACTCTGCGATCTCTGAGTATTCCGCGGTCTCGGTTGCTTGGATATGGGCGGTGTTATTCTTTGGCGTTCCTCCTTCTTTATCGGATGAAACTCCTCGTCCTGCTGTCGGTAAGTGGATGGATATCCCTCGATCTGTCTTTGTTGCTCCTGCTCCTTTTGTTGGACTTTATAGGTGCCAGAGTTAGAACTATCTCGTAGTTCTGATGCCTTATTGGTTTTTTGTTTCTGCTGGTGATCTTCCTTCTTGGCAAAGCAACCAAAGATCCCTGTTGTATCTCTAGGATCTCTTTCGTTGGATTCTTTGCTTTGGCTGTTGCCTTTGTTGTTGTTGTTGGAGATGTGTGTCACCTCTGCAAGTGGAGAAAAATCAGAATATGGATATAAAGTAGGGGCCTTTCCTTGAATAATCTTTAACAAAGAAAGCAACTGAACTACGGGAATATGATAAAATCGGATTTGGAGATTTGGGTGGAAACAGGGAAAATCTAGTGAAAATTAACGAAACAAGATATGGAACCGTGTTGAAGTTGCACAGGAAAGCGCCAAGGGAGTCTAATATTAGAATACGAAACAGCAACGAGTAAGACATGACTTCAAACCAGGATTAATTGAGATTGGTAAATGGAGAATTAAGTTAGTATTTGTTAGTATGAGGTGCTTATCCCCAATAATGTGCTTAGTTCTAAATAATAATTTTAAAATTACTAAAGTAAATAAAAACTAAATATTTATGTAACACCTTACAATTTTGTCATGAAAAATCTTAAAATCTCAGATTTGGTTATTACAAACGAAATTCGTATGGGAGTATATTAAATCCCAAAACAGATTGCCATTTTGTTGTTGTCGGCGGAATTACCCTCACACGTTTTGGCATAAAAAGCAAACAAACAGTTTAACGCTCGCCACATGTCGTGTACTGGGAATTCATTGATTCCCCTCCCTATCTTTCCCCTCAGCCACCCTCATTATGCTAAATTTTTCCACGTTTCTGCTGATAAGGTTTTTGTTTTATGAATAAAATCTCCCTCTAGTGTGGGTACAACGTTTGAGGCCACCACTGTGTGGGGATTGTTCAACCATTTCTATCCACGACTGTAGGAGTGCCTCTTTTATTCTCTTTCTTTTTGTATTGAGATCTGGCTCTCTTTGCTCCATGCAGCATAAAAAAAAAGTTCAATCGCATGGAATGAATGGCAGAAAGAGAGAGGACGAGAGGGCGAAGTGTGCGAGCGGGACCAATGACCGCATTGTGCTATTTATAGAAACAAAAAATAACAACAAAAAACAGCAGCAAAGATAATGTGTGGAAATTGTAATTAAGTTTTCAGCTAAAATGTATGCGTTTACTTTGTTTTACTGTCTTCTTTTTTATGTAATCAGAAGAGCGATAAGCCTTGCAGGTTCGATAACTGTGACAGGAGCGATAAAGAAGTTCGTTTCCAGTTATCGGCGTGTCATGTGCCACATAATTAAACTCACTAACTTTGGCCAACTAACTTTTTAAACTAACAAAAACGACCTGGCAAATTTCGCAATTTAACACTTGGACCGAATAACAAAGAGAAAAAACTCAATGTTTACAAAACAAACAAAACACGCAAAGTAAGAAAGAGACACAAAATTGATTTTTAAAATAATCTCTTGGCAACAAAAAAAGCAAAGACAGCGAGCTAAATAAAGAAATAAAAGAACAAAAACAAACCAAAGAGCAAACATTTCAATATGTATTTAAATTAACCAGAGTACTATTTTCAAAGCTAAAAGAATTTGAACAAATAAACTTATTATTACTTCTGCCGCTAAATTTCTAATTAAATCAATACCAAGAGAAAAGGGGACGAAAGAGCGAAAGATAACTAAAGTCACACGATCATGTGCAACTGATAAGAAATGTCACACGACTTCGTTTCATCACACCCACACGCACACACACTCACTATTGGTTCAATAAATATACATTTGTGCTTTATTGATTTCACGCCAAAAGAAATCAAAACAATTTACGCAAAAAGATGAAGAATTATTAATTACACGTTCTTGTTGCGGTTTCGGCCTATTCTTCCTCTTCCTTCTCCTCTGCTACTCCACGCACGCGCGCGTTTCTCCTGAACTTCTTTTTCAGTTTCTTATAGCTGTTTCTGTTCCCGTTTCGTTTCGTTCGCGATCTTCGCGAAGCGTTCGGTTCAAAAGCGGCGCAACAAATGAGAATGAGCGTACAAAACGCAGATAAACAACCGCAAAACCAAAAGCCAGACAGCGCAGTCCAGTGTTGCACGTTTAGCTTATTTCAGGCTAGATCTACCGTATCTGAAAGGTGAAAGCTTATCCACATTGCAAATATCTTACAGCCTTAAATATTTTTAAGTTTATCGAACATATAATAATTGTGAGGAAAATGGTTTCACTTAATGGAAATAGTTTTAATTAATTTAATAATAGTTACCAAAATGTAATAAATGATTACTCAAATTGACAGCAGACGGATCGAAGCATACTGATTCTTTTGTAATTTTGCAACTTATTTAATGCTTTTCGATTGGTTTTTCTTTTTTGATATTAAAATTATTTAGACAAATTAATTATTTTAACTTTTCATAATGGTGTCAAAAAAAAAAAAACAATTCATATTTATTACTTAAGAAAATAATAATCTCTCACATTTTTGTTCAGCTTATTCTTGCTCAGAATCTAGCTTATAGGTGCGGTCAACACTGAAGGCAAATAACAAAAAAGAAACATAAAAAACACAGAAACAGAAAGCAAGAACAACATTAAGCATTTGCTAGAAAATACAAAAATAAATGTTTTGAGCAAATATCAACAACAAAAACGTCGTTGCACGAAGAAAACGAGAATAAGAGAGAGAGGGGATAGTAAGAGAAGTCAAGGAGAGAGCACCAGAAAGAGCGGGTTAGGCTACCGCACAGTGGGTGTCGTGGATCTGTGCACAGCTTTTCAGAAGCAAAATTACCCGACAACCGTAGTTTAAGTATCTTTTTTAAGTGATATGATTATTTAAATTGTTTTTAATATTATTAAAAAATTCAAAATAAAAAACGAATGATATATTTTAGATTTATATTCTATATGTAGTAGTTTTCTAAAACCTTAAAAAACATTTGTATATTTTTCGTTTTCATAATTGTTTCATGTTTCTGATATTCTAAAAATATTAACAAACATTTAAATTATATTCCAAAATTTGGACTTTCTCCTCCATTTCCAATTTCACCATTTGTAAGGTTTTATTTTTTGTTTGCCTCCACGTATTGCGCCGTCCTGTGTACTCGGATTTTATCAGCTCTGACGCGCACGATAAGTTAAAAACGTTTCCAGCGGCAATAATAACAACAAACGAAAACAATTAGCAACAATAAAGACCCAAAGTCCCAAAAAAAGTAGAGCATAGATACAACAGACGTATGTATTTTCCATACCGCACCCAGATACAAATTGAGAATCCAGTATCTCTCACTCTTTCTCCCATATTTCTACTTGGCTATCTCCGGGGGTTAGATAAGTGTGTCAACATAATGGAAAGGGGGTTAATTTGTGGGGGGAAGCCCAAATAAAAATAAAAAAAGTGCCTACAGTCATCATGGAAAATTCGTAATTGCAGCAAGTTGTTTTTGTCTAAATATGTATATGGAAATCTATTGCAGACAGATACGCAAGAATGACGTATATTTAAGAATATTGTATATCTGCAGCACATAAATAAAATATATAATTTTATATTGGAAACATATGTAAGTTAAGAGAATTTATGGAAGCAAAAGTACAATAAGTAATAAACAATTTCTCAACAGTATCTGTTCCGAAATCAGTAACTCATGCACCATGCCCATTAAAAAACCTTCAAAGTATCGCAGCTGTATGGAAATGTATGGCAGGCCAACCTATAGATACAAATGTATCTAAGTATCAATAGAGAGATTATGGGATCGGTGGTAGTCTGCATTGGCCATAGCGTTAAATTCTGTTCTGCTGTGCATAAAAATGCGCAATCGTCGGACCGATGACTTATAAAAATAAGAATTGGCACACACACAATACTGATTTTTGCGTGGTGTGTTTTATTTTTAGAATGTCTCCGTCTGTGTCGTCTGCTATTTGCATATAATTTCCAATGCAGTTCGGTGGCCATGGCAAAAAAGTGGGTGGACTTAGGGGGGATTTGGCGGATGGCAAAAGCAAAAGGTGATCGTCATCGACATTGTGCGTGAAAATCAAGAGATTTGGAAAATCAAAAGAATCTTTAGAGGGTTCCCTTGATTAGTTTTTGTACATTTTTATGTTAGTAGTTAAAACTTTCAAATAAAATAGCTAATTGTTTCTGAACTTGAAATATTTATTATATTTTTAGTTTACCAAAGCAAGTTATTGAATATTTTGAACTATGAATACATCAAACTCCCTATATTTCGTATATCTATCTTTCTCATACAAACAATAACAATTTAGCAAGACTATAAAAAGCACATGAACTGCCGCCTAATTACCTGACACCTTGCCCACCAAGTCAGGTAGACAAATATACATAAATATTTCATCCGACTGCGTTCGCTGTTAACACAATTTTCGTGTATTGCACTCGGCGTCTGCATATACGCGACAACTTAATTATAGAAGAACGAAATAAATTACAAAATATGTGTATGCATTTTGAAAATTTCGTTGTTGAAATTAATTTAACGCCATAATTTAAATATTGACACATTAACGAGCACGACGCTTGCCACAGTTGCTTGAACTCAGCCATATTGCAGTTGCAATATCGTTTCGCATTAATTATTGACACAATTCGGACTGCAATCGCCCGCCAAGAACAAAATACTCATATCGCTCTCACAATCGACTCGATATAATACTGTATACATTGTATACTATACAATATCGGATGAATACTATGAGTACTACTGGGCAGTGCCAAGTGTCCAAGTAAGACTGTGGGTTTAGATTAGATCTCTGGTTTTGTCTGCGTCATGCAAAAGAGTAATTGATTTCTCGTCTAAGTTGCTGCTGTTGCGATTTCAACACATATTTTGCACTGGCATTGATAAATGCAACCTAAGCATATTCATTAAGATCTTTTTCGTGTTTTAAACTTGGCTATATGTTTGAACGATCAATCAGAAAGTAGCACAAAGATTTAAAATAGTTTTGAGGGCATGGTCAATTTTTTCCATTGAATTTAATAATTATTATTTTAAGTAAGAAATATTTTCTATTACAAAATACTTTTTTTTTTCTAATTATTTCCTTTAAAATTTAATAGATTTTAGACCGAGGATACCCCTAAAATTATTATTAAATATCTTAAAATGTAAATATTAATATTGAACCCTTTTTAATAAAAGCTTTAGTACGACTTTGTTTAATATACATTTAAAATTTAATCCACTCCCTGCTGCTCTCAAATGTAAATTATAAATCACTTTTTGACATGTTTATTAGCTTTTTGTGCAATTATTTTTTAATTTAATTATCCCAAACTCGACTAGAAATAAATCACAGGCAGTGTGTGGGGGAATTTCCAGTGTCCCGAAAAATGTTGTACAATTTAAGTCGGTAGGTAAGCCAATAGATATGAACATTATTACACACATTTAAATATACAGTACTTCCTATCTATCAAACTGGTATCTCATATATTTAGCTATTTGCATTCAGCTATATGCATGCATTATTTTCGGTTTATAAAATGATAAATGTGGTGCATATGAGACATGTATTTTTTAGCGATAAAATATAAATTTATATTAGTAGGTGGAATTTTTTAGAAATCTGAACATAACACAAACGAGAAGTTTAACCCACTTTGCTTAAGGCATCCTAAATTAAGTAACTGCATTTTGACGATCACTTTTTAAAATTTAATGTTCTTTTTTGTTCAGTTTTATGTCTTATATAGGCTGAGATGCCTTCACACGCGACACTTGAGATTGACTTGAGTTATCAAGGGAACTGCGGCGATTGGGATTCGATCCGATTGCAGTTCAGAATCGCATTGCTAGCGATCGCTGATTCGACCGCTCCTCCAGCGTGAAAATCACAAATTCGACTGAACTTCACAAATCGTTGTAATCAAACATTTAAAATGAAATTTTTTCCTTTTTTTTTCGTTTAGCAATAAACAACAATAAAAATTAAATGAGCTCTACAAATGGCGGAACACGACGAGCCATAACAGCGATGATACTATAGAAGCACCGTCGCCGATCGACGAAATAAATGTACGAAATGTGCGAAATTTTGCCGCCTCCATCAACGCGTCGGCGTTAGTTAGTGGTAGTTAGTAGTTCGGTGTATCCGCCTTTGTATCTGTATCTATACGCTATATATCGGTGCCTGTGTCGGGTTGCCTTTGGTTCGGATTTACCAGGCTTTATTGCCAAAGCCCAGCTGGTAAGTAATATGCATGAGTGATTGCTACTGATTCCAAATTTAAATACCAACAGCACGGGGACTTCCGTGGAGAATTTACTTGGAAGGTGAGTGGGGTTTCGTTCTCGTGGGTTCTATTTAAGTAAGTTCATTTGGTGGGTTTTCAGATATAGGTTTATATAATTTAAAAATTATAATAGTATATCTTCATGACAGGCACTGTCTTCTCTAAGTGCATCCTTGCATTTATTAATTAATAAATTAATTTGTGAAAATACGAATAACTTTCTAAGATTTCATCCTACAGATCTACATCTACAGATCCTCTATCCCTGGTTAATAGCATTCGCAGCTACGTCTTTCGTCGTATGTTTACATACTTTTTAGCAGTACTGTACCAGGGTAATTTTGACTTCTCCCAGCGACATGCGCATGTACCTTTGTCAGGTTGATGTTATTATTATTTTAGCAATTTGCATAAGGCTTATAGGTTGAGTATTTTTAAATTCTTGTTTATAGTCAAAAGGCGTCTCTTCTCCCCCATTTTTTTTCGGGGTTATCTTATTATTAACAAGGGAATTTGTTGTATCCAAGCCAATAAAATGTGTGAAATTCGTCGGCTGTGCAAATTGTATCTGTATTCCATATCTGTGTAAGGTGGCTTACTTTTTATGCGCACCGGCAATACGAGTCAAGTGATCGAACGCCCTCAAAAATTAACAACAAAAAAATAGGTTTTGACACACAAAGAGCGAGGGAAAGAAGCAGAAAACACTGCGATTTAATTAGCGACCAATGTTATTTGACACGTGTGTGTGGGCGGGCCAAAGGTTGATCGCTCCTGAACCTAGAATACTTCAGTTCGGTTCCTATATACTTTGTACTCGGGTCACTGATCGTTGCCAAGGCGTTGGTCAATAACTTTTGTGAAAATTGTCGGTTGCGTGACGTCGGCGACATCAAAATGAGGCTAAAAAGTCATGAATGGCCACCACGAGTCGAGGGCGAGCTATAATGAATGAACCTGAACAAGCCTATTTCGCATAGTAAAACTACAGTGGATATATAGGAACTGGCTATAGAAAAATAATGAAAATATACACTAGTGTTTGGGCTATTAAATACCTATTAATATAGCATTTTTAAAGCCTTAACATCGAATAAAATAAATAATCTTCAAAAATATTAGAGATATTTTGGAAAATTATAACAAAGAATAATTGTTTTTTTGAAGAGAAGCCTCGCCTGCTCATCAAATGTTTATAGTAAAAGTTTACTCAAGAAGATCTTATTGAAAATACCTTTCAAACGACTACTACCCTTTAAAATATATTTTTAAAAATATTTATGCCACCGATCGCGACGCTATGTTCGTGAAACTTTATACATTTTAATAAACAAATACGTATATATTTCCTCTAAAAAAAAAATGCCAAAAATTTGCCATGTGCCATAGCCCATCAGCAAAATCAAAGCTCACATGTTCGTTTCAATTTGCTGGTCAACATCTCATGTGATCTCTCTTCGTTGGTCTGTCAAGGCGAGGACGTTGGAGATTTTTGCACTCGCAAAAAACATTTTTGCTTTGAGAAAAATAAATTAAAAATCGCACGAGAAATAAATCAATATTCTTGAACGCAAAAGTCGAAGGTAATTCAGTTCAATGAGCTCAAAAAGCAATGCAAATAACAGGAAGTAAATGTTTAAGGCCAGAAAAGTATGACAAAAATAATAATGGCATAGTTAAGACCTTAAAACCGAAATGAAACGCTTTAATTGCTGTACTTTGTTTTAAATAAAGATTGCCAGGTATAATAATTGTAAATTAAAGAGGTGCACAATATATTTAATTTTGAAAACTTAACTGGGTTAATTATTTCCTTATAAAAGTAACGTTCCTATCTTTGCTTTATTGAAATTTTTAATATATTTTAAGAATACTACAACCTAACAAAGAGTTATTCATTTTTGAATTTAATAAAAATCAATTATTGTGAGAAACAATAAACAATTTAAATGCCAATTTCTCCCTTTGAAATCCATTAATTAAAATCACATTTTCACATGAGCACATGACGAAACCTAGATCAATTGAAATTAAGGTTTCTGATTTCGGAATCAATTAATTGAGATCACAAATGAGAGTCAACCCAGATTAATTGATTGCATTTCCAAGAACTTAACCAGAATATTAATATTTTGAAACGTTGTGAGCTTAGTTGACCCAAATATACAAATTTAAAATTGTTCAACATATGCATGTATCTCTTTTCCAAAGCTCATAAAGTTAATGTCGTTATACAATACAAGTTAACCTTGCTACAAACAAGAGATTTAATGCTGCTTTCCCTCAATATGCAAAAAAGAAAAGTATGAAAGCGAGGAATGTCGGGACTGGCGAGAGATGACAATGACTAAAAATAGCAATCACAATTGAAATGTCGTTCCATATTAAGACCCGGAGCCCAGTTATAGTTTCATTCTTTCTCTTGTCACTGTGGCTAAATTTAAAACGCCGAACGTCACGTTGAGTGGGTAGGAAATGGTGCACGAATCGGACAATACTATTATGCCATATAGTACTATACAATGGGGCAAGGCTCTCTTATTCTCGATCCCCTTTTCGTTTTGCAGAAATCGTAAATTACAGGCAAACAACGAGCAAGTTCAAAGTCAAAATAGCAATCGGGAGGAGGGAAAAAAACAGAGAAACAAGTCGGCCTGTCAGTCAGTTCAACATGATGATCATCATCATCATCATGTGATCATCATGTTTCTGTTGATCGTACAAGATCATTATGCCAATTTGTTGTTGCTTTTCCGCTCGACCGAGCATGCAAACAAATTAAGACTGAGGGCGCCGTGCCCCGAGTAGCGAAATTTAATTAGCATTGCCTCACTGTACTCGCTTTTCTCTGCACTACGAAAAAAAATCTTGAAAAACTGAAAAGTATTTTTTATGATTTTTAAAACAATTAAGAGTAATCTGCCCTTAAAAACCTTGTGTTTGCTCTAGACTTTGACATAAATTATTCATTTTAAGTAATGGTGGCGACATCTTACTTGGTGTTTTTTTTCCCCCAGTGTGTCGGTTGTCTGACTTTTTTTGGCCAGTGAAACGCTTTCGCATGCCCTCCCACACATTTCCGCGTGCTAGCTGTGAGGCAAATTGAGCGATTAGCGCCGAACAGAACGTGACCCAGCAGATAGGTCCCGGGTCCCCCCCTGTACCTACCCACAGAAGCAGCACACAACGACGATTTACCTATCTCAATTTAATTTCGATTTTAGATCACCATTAAGATTTGAGTTTTGCTGAATGCAATTTAGTTTAATGCGTTTTGTCTGCCCCATGAGCAGTGATTCCATCCAAGCGTGCTGCTGCCTCTGATGACTTTATTACAATTTTAAAATCCCCGATGACTAATTAGTGTAAATTTACATATTTGCAATATATTTAGAACACAAGCACAAGCACTAATTCAGATTAGGTGAATTACATCATTGATACAAGGTACAGTTTCCCTTTAAAAGGTGTATATACGGTCACATTGTTTAATACAGGAAAAATAAATTATAGAATCTTTTGGAAACACCTAAACTGGATTCTTCAATCTGCTATTTAACACACATTTGTGAGTACAGTGTCAAAGTCGGGCAAGTAAAAACAATCCCTTATATCAAAAGAACTAATTATATAAAACACCCCACCCAATATGACTCTTTTAAGGGATCTATACTTCTAACTAAAAAGCCAGATATGCTTGCAATTTTTAAACTATTTCTACAGATACGATATTATAGTTCACTTGCTATTTTTTACTTACCAGTTCGCCTTTTGATATCTGTAAAAATATTAAAAAATGAATTGGTTAATAAATGGTTTGTTGAGATAGCATTAAAATATATACTTTTATTATTATTATAAGCGAATAAAATAAAAAATGGTGTAATAAATAATAAGAGATAAGCACGGCATACAAATAATAATATAATATAATCGCAACAATCATGAAAATTCAATGAAAATCTATACCAACATGTAAGGGATTGGCAAAACTGAACTGAAAATCATATTAAAGAGATGGTGAAGGTGGTAGAGAATAAATAATAAATAATTAGAGCACATAAATTTTGATTTGTAAATGTGCGAATAATTTATTATACATTTTCCCTGGCATTTTTCGATGCCGATGGTGGATGAAAGGAAGGAGCCAAAAATAAATGAGTCTCGAATGTGTGGCCACAAAACTTATCTTCATGCCAATAAATATAAAACTTATCCCGCATGCATATAAATTATGAGCAGCCGATGGCCACCAATTTCTATGCCAAACGTGGCCATAATACTGTAGCGTACAAGGGGCTCTTTTAAATCGAGCAAAAGGGGGGTGCAGGTGTGGCACCTGTTGCCACAAATTAAGCAAATGGCGTTAAAAAAAAAGGAAATGCCAAAATAAATAGGGACATTTTTATCAAGATGCGGCCAAGGAAAATTCAAATGTAAATTCAACGCCAAAATAAATAGTAATTAATAGTGCAATCACCGGTTTTCTTTTTAAATTTTCCTTTCATTTTCTTTGGCTTGCGAATAAAATCCAGAAAATTACGCTAAAATTTAATTTATTGACGTCTGAGATATATTATTATATATTATATTATAAAAATCTTAGGTTTTAAAAGACTTGGAACCTTTATTTAGATTTATAGTTTAAAAATTTTATTCAACTATCAAGCATCTAGTTAAATATTTATGTTTTAAAATCAATTTGATCATATCTTCTAATATATTTAAACACTTTCTTTATTATTGTTTATTAAAATTGCATAAAAAATACCATTAACCAAAGCTCTATCACAAAATCTTTATGATCTGTGAATGCTTAAAAACAGCTTAATAATTATACGCACATAAAGGCTTTGTTGTGTATTTGAAAATACTTTCCATATAATAATATCAACAAAAAACAGACACAAATCGACAATAACAAACGGCACGTGCTGTAAAACCCATTAAAAATATTTTCCGTCTGCCTCTAACGAAAATAAACTAGAAAATTGTGAGCGTATTAAAATATGAAATCTTTGTGGACATCAAAATGGCATGCAAGACAAACAAATTGCGCTTAAATTTATGGCAGGCACTCGCATCTCAGCCGCTTTCCCGCCACAAACAAGTGTTCAAAATATGAAATGTGGTCAATGCAAAAATGGCAGTAAATTATTAAAATTGTTTTAGTGTGGAGAGCTGCAGAATTCGGAAGTATTTCGTTGGAGGGGCGGTCGTAATTGTTTAAAACTTTAATTAATAAATTAATAATTAATTTAAGTATTATATAGTCTATCCTAAAATATTTAATATAAATTATAGTTTATTCGTATTCTTAACATATTTTGTAGGGAAATTTTGTTTTCAGGGATTTTGTCCTCTTATTTTAAACCTTAAACCTTAAATAAGTTCATTTTAAATCTTATTAAATTGTTAATTCTATTGAATTTCCACTGTAAACACTCAATGCCTGCATTGGGATTAATCTTATCACTGTTAATTACTTCCACACACTTTTTTACACACGACCCCTACTACTAATCAGGCTTCAAGTGTAACTATATTTAGTACCAGCCAAGCCTGACCTCAAAGGGTCTCGAACTGGAATGTCCGGCACTCGAGTAATAATACACAAATAATATTCGTAAAGCCAAAAATGTATTGCAAAGAATGCAACTAAAGTTTCCAAGTACGAAGACAATTGCTCAAGAACCGATGAGAACTGATGAGGATTGTTGGTATCTCCGAAACAATGATATACTACAGCCCGGAGATTCTTGATTTATGATGATTAAAGCAGCCAAAGATGAAATCTTATCCAAAAAAGTTATTACTTTTGATATGGATCTTTGAAATACATAAAAAAAATCACTCTTTAAATAATGATACAACTTTCTTACAAACAGTAAAGATATACTATTCGTACATCTAATTAGACAATATCTCAGAAGATTCTATCTACCCATTAAATAAAGTTAATTTGTATTCTTAAAGATTTAAAGGTAATTAATAGTGGGGAAACAACCCCCAAGTGTTAATTGTGTAAATGGGCAATTAGAAAGGGCGACAATTGCACACGTGGTTGGTGCTATGTCACATGGTCGGTGGGCAATCGATGACTTATCTAAGCAATCATTGATGATGGGTAAGGCGTCGCATTCTGAGCATAAATTGCCAACGACGACGCCACGGGATGCAGCTAATTAGAAACGCAAATTGGGAATCGGCAATTGCCACTTGGCCGCACAGCACAGGTGTAAATGGCACGATTATGGGCATTATGTTTCTTCGCCTCCTTAGGCCCCCCGTTGATCAATCAAATTAGCAGCGGTTTCAAAATCCCTATTATTATAGCTTTTAGATGCTGTATTATTTATTTTGTTGCAGCCACGCGACTCTGGCGTGTGCCCAACTTGTGAAAGTCTTTACCAATTAGCCAGGAAGATATTTTTGTATGCGAGATAAATTTTCGATTTTGACAACACGGATCTCCACCTTGTTTTAGGTATTACGTACCGACTTTTACGATGGCTGATTAGAAAGTTTTTTTGGAATGCTTAAAAGAAGTTTCTATGAAATGTTGGTATTTACTTGATTAATTGATCCTTTAAATCATAATAATATGGAGTTATTACCTAAATTTACTTAAAACAGAAGTTAAAGATGACAAAATGCTACAAAATGTTGGAGTAACTGACGTTAATCGTCACAAATTTGTCTATTTGTTATTAAATACCAGTTAGCGTTTTCGCAAATAATATTTTTCTGTTTTTATAGTTTCCATTTACTTGTGCAATCATTATCTGACAATTAACGTATTGACGCAAAGACTGTACGATATTTACATACTTTACAAATCTCTGAATATATTGCATACAAATAAATCTGCGATTTGATTTTACTATTATATAAAATTTTCTGCGCCGTAGCTTAAGTTGTAACAAAGTGTGCATTATCTTTTTGTATACAAATTTTTAAGGTGGTTTTGTTCCTATTTAAATATTCCGCAAAGTTCCCTAACTCAATTTTTAGACCTTAAAAAATAATGGTTATCTTTAAGATATTATAGGTTTTCTTTTACCTTTGTGATATGCGCCGACACAAGATAATTTTAAAACTTATGTACATATTAGAACTTAAGCATTATGTTCATCATCAAATAAAATATCAGTGCTGTTCTTTTAAGTTAACGATAAAAGTAAGCTTGAGAAATTTAGTTTATACATAGATTTATGGACATTTTTTTTACAAAGTAAAGCTTGAAGGAACTTATAGATACTTTAAGCTGATTATGATAAGAACCGCCGTATTGGTAACCTCAATATATAGTCTATAAATATTCGTAATATTGATATTCTTAAAATGAGATTTTTAAAAACCCATCGCTTGTTGATAAAAGATATTTCCGCATATTTCGAAAATGCAATTTGGCCCCATAAACAAAATGATGGTTAACCTTCAGGAATTAGTGTGTGAAAATTAACCTCAGTGATGTGCACCGACAAAAACTAGTTGCAATAAAAGATGATAACACGCTAAATGAATGCATATTGCATAATATTTCGCCCTCTCTCCGGGCCGTCTTCTTCTTTCACCGACTGCAATTGAAAATGCAAATTGCGCGGGAATTTGAAAGAACAGCTGGTGCACCCACAACTGAGAAAATTTCCGAGTGAAATGGGAAAGCAGAAAAAATAAACGCCACTAATTGAGCGAGCGCCCGTCCATTTGAAGTTCGTATCAATTAAGCGAAATACAAGCAATTCAATCAACTGGATCATGGTGTCACAATATTTGTGGACTCGAGTGTGGAAAACAGTAGTACACGCGCGTGTTCCAATTCCAGGCGTACGCACTAGGAGGGGTTCGTAATGATAGCCCTTAACATTAATAATCCTTCCATATATTTAACAGAATATAGATATTTGAATATAATTTTGTACGAAAATAATCAAAGCAAGAATTAAGAATAAAAAAATTTTAAAAAAATTTTTAAGATCATAAATATATTGAATACTAAAAAAAAAACACTGCTCTATAAATATTTTTAATCCAATTTTCTTATTAACCAAATATTTATTTTTTGTTTGTATATTTGAATGACCCACATTGTATGTCCTATAATTTTGACCGCGACTGTGACACGCATAACCTCACACAACCACAGGCGCAGTCACTGAGTCACGCTCTCTTTTCTCTTTTGCTGCCTCTCTCTTTGCACAGATGACAACAAGCCGGTATTTTCATACATATTTCCGCAACGAATGAAATGCTAAAAGGCAGAAAACCAAAAGCCAACTTTAACACAACTAAAACAAACTAAGAACGAACAGAATAAGCAGCGTTGTTTGCTAGAACCAGTTACAAAAACCGAAATCAAAGAGAAAAGGGGGTGGGGGAGGGGCAAGACACACCAGAGAAAGGGAAGGCTACCAACCTGTTTTCCTTCTGCAAAATCGATGAAAAACCAATCGCCGAAAACGGAATTTCACCAGGAAACTTATCTTGCACACGACTTCAAATAGTATTATTCACTAATTGATTTTCTGATTTATTTTTCGCCTCTTCCTCGCTCGTTCGTTCGCTCACCCTCTGCAACTTTTAATTGTATTTGTTGCGAAAAAATTCCACTGCTCCTCTCTCTCTTTCTATCGTGACGAAACGTTTTTTGGTATTGTATTTGCTGGCGAAATTTCACTGATTCACTGGAATATATTCGCAATCCGGATAGTCCGCTATATCCCCAGTTGATATTTAACCAGATTTCGGTAATTACACGTAAAAATCGAAGCGTCTGCACGAAATAAACAACAAAAATTCAGCTGCCGCGTGTTCCGTTTCCATCCGTATCCAAAAAAGCTTGTGGGCGACAGTGATGCCATTTTGTTTGGGAAAAAAAGCTGGATTAAAAAATAAAAGCTGAAAAAACGGATTTCCGGAAAAGGCAAAGAAAAAATCAGATTTAAAAAAATTACATTTTATTTGTTTTTCCTATAGTTTTTAATAAGAAGCAATAACAGCACGGCACTCTGCCAATTCCAATAGAAGGGCATTGAGTAAAATAAAAACTGATAAATGTTGACAAATAACTTTTATATAAATTTTTAAAGAATCAAGATACATATATCAACCTATTTACTACCATTTTATTAAATATTTTTAGATGTGTGTATTTTACACATTTGCCTATATAATGCATTATGTATATTTTATATTTTTATTTCACATATGTTGCATATTTTATGCATATATGTTAAACCCTACAAATAGGCCGCTCAGTTTAACAATTTTAGTTTTATCTAAATTTGACGGGAAACAAGCGGTAATGACATCACTGGTGGGCAAGATAGAGAGACAGAGAGCGAGAAAGGGCGAGAGTGTTATGGCAGAGAGAGCTTATGTTTGGCGGGTGATTTGAATTTGACGGTAGGGGTTAGGGGTTACTTTTAAAGACAGAAAAGTTTTTGGTATTAAAAAATATAAATAGGAGTAATATAATAATAATAATTAATTATTATAATGTAAAAATATCTACTGTAACTTTGAACTTTGTACTATTCTGGAATCCAGGATCGGGATTTAGAATTAAATAGATCTGCAGTAGATTTTATACTTTAGCCCAAAAGACCTCTGTTTACTACATCTATTTGCAACTTTGGCAAAAATGTTTTAAGAGACAGATGGGCTTTTTGTGATTTATTTAAGCACCCGAGTTAAAAAATGTATTTAGGGCGCTGGGGATATTTTATTGCTTCATGAATTATTGGTTTATTGTTATTTTTGTTGCTGTTGTTGTAATAGACACTGCCCTCCTATTTCCATAGCTATATTGTAAAATAATTGGCCTATACATAGTCAAAACTACGAGTAATAATCAAATTCTATATTCATAATAGAACATTTTAAAAGAAATTTGCAGTTTTATACTAACCCAATGTTTTATTATTAAGAATTCCTTATATAAAGTTATAATTAAAATGTTTTTTATTATTCTTTTTAGAAAGCTTTGCCGAAACACCCTACCCGCTCAGCTTTGAAAGCGTTGAAGAAGCTCAGCGCTGTAAGCCCCAGCTCTATGTTAAGGTAATGTTACACCACCCCCCACCACCCATCGTTCGGTTATGTAAACCCGTGCGAATGGGTCTGGGTCAAGGTCGCAGGGGCCGGAGTACACGCCCTTGAAGCATCCGAACAGCATCCGAAGCAAGATTTATGTACCCCAGATTTTCCATTACAAATTATCGCTTATGTCACCACACAACTGGGAAAAATTAAAGCTGCTGGGAAAATCGAGGAGGAAACCCTAAGCTAATTATAATCACTGAGGTTCTAAGAAGAAGGAGGAAGCGACGGCGGCGGCTGCAAATGGCCGAAATCCAATCAGTCAACGCTGTGCGACAATTCTGACAGAAACCAATCAACTAAGTGTCTAAGCGCCAAGAATTAGCATAAGAAAGAAAGTCCGGCCGAGAGACGACCACGAGGACTGCAGGGATAATTCCGATGAAGAACTATGTACATACCAGAAGGGGACTGGGACTGGAACTGATGGCGTTTTGATGGTGGCTTTGGTCCAATGACCAGTGCTTCTGTGCCATGGGAAAGGCGTTCGTTTAGTTCGTAATGAAATTTTACAACCGAAGGGCGCTCGTAAAACGGCCACGTCAGCGGCCCGTTAGCAAGTGGCTGCTTTTACACAATAATAAAAAGCTTGGACTAACAATAAAAAAATAAATTATAATTTTATAGTTCTTAATATTGACTTGTAGGAATAAATAAATTTACAACCTTGGGAGCACTGAGCAAATTGATTTAAAAATCTTTTTAAAAGAGAAAAAGGTTGCAAGTAAAGATGACTGAAGAAGCCTAGTTAATGGTTACCTTTTTTTTTTATAAACCACACTTTATTTATTTTATAAAAGTCAAAAATTTTAATTTTTAAATTGATTACAATTATTAATTATTAAAGTCAGACTTTTCATCTCGACATATGTATGTACATCCCTTACTTAATTTCGTTTTAATTCATTATCTTTGATCATAATAATCTTCTGGTAATATTAAACAAATATTTTTTTCGAGTGTTGACCATTTTGCAGCACCTTTCCGTATTTCTACTTCACCTCAACCCCTCCCTGGGGCAGGCCAAAACCTCAAACTCCTCCGTCAATCCACAACCACTTGCCTCCGCTTCGGCACTTGTCTGGCAAGTTTGACTTAAGTGCAGTTTTAACGCTGCTTTGTCCGCACGAATACGGATACGGATACCGATACGGATACGGATCCGGGGCAGGAGTACGGGATTACGGCTACGGATCTGTTTGCTGCGCTCTGTAAGCACTGCGAACGTGTTAACTGCAGCTGTTTGGCATTTGAGTTACGTGCGCACGCAACAAATGCGGAAAAGTACGGGGCAGTAAGGGGGTTTTTCGGGGGTGTTATTTTCTTGAGGGGAGGGGAATAATCCAGCACAGCGGAGCATATGATTAAATGTCACCTGCTGGATGATGGGGATGCCCCTTTTTAGCCCAAAAAGTTATGGAAAATGCATGCATCGTAATTCATCAAAACAGGGGATTATCAGTAATGATGGGAGTGACACTTGGGGTGGGAAATTAATCATTGCAATGGATCTATTTTATATTGAATATAAATTAAATTTAAGTTTAAATAAATATCTATTAAATAAAACCACTTTTCAAGATTTTCACCAACCTTTTTGTGAAACATTTGATTTTTTTCTAGAGAAAACTACTTTTTTAAACCTACTACAGACTTGGCTAAGGACTATCTAGGGCTCATGTAGTCCAAAGAGAGCTCTCCTAAATCGCACAGAAATTAATTAGGATTCATTGCCGGTCATCAGGAGGGTTTAGGAGTCTCTAATAAGTGTCTCCCCTCGAAGCTGGACCCCAGCCAATGGCCCGGAACGTGGGAGCTCAGCCACGTAATTGCCAGAAGAGGACGAAGTGCGGCCCTTCGGTGACGAGTAGCATGTGGCACTCACTCACACTGTTGGCAAGCCATCAAGTGTCATCGCTTCAGCGACAGGGAAACACCAATTAAGGCTTCGGGATCATTGTTGTTGGCCGACAATTAAAATCGAGGCAGGAAAAGGGGGGCTCGCAACAGTGATGGGTTTGACCAGCAAACAAACAAACAGGACCAGAACAGGCACAGGAGTTGCAGTTCACTTGGTGTTTGGTGCAATATGTGGAACGTGCCGGTGCAACGCGTGGGACTCATAAGGCCACCGATGATGATGCACTTGTTGGGATCTGTGTTGTCCATCCAGGGTTAGCACAGGTTGCGTTCAACAGGAAGTGAGTACTAATTTTAAATATAAATTCTAGTGAACTCTGCTTTAATGCGAACTTAAAATAAAAGCAATTTCGTTTTCTATAAAATAAGAAAGTATTTTTAAGCATCTCAGCAATTTGAATGCCAAGGCCCTCTGTGGGACCCTATGCTGAAATGCAATCAGTTTGAGTGCTTTGATATATTGGCTAATGCCGCAAAGCATGGAAAGCGTTTCTTGCTCTCGGGGAAACTGATGAAATCTTGGACTGTACGCTGATGGTAAAAGCTGGTGCCAAGTGCCACTCGAATTTGCCTCATTTGGCAGCCACACACGTCCTGCAAACACAGCCCTCCTCCACTTCTCTGAAACCCCTAATCACCACACCCGCCACCGCTCAGACCAAATCCTCCCGAGGAATTTAATTTCAAGTCCGAGGCAAGTTAAGAAATAACCCGACAAATGTCATCGGCATCATACACCAAACAAAAAATTTTAAAAATATATTTTAGATAGTTGAAAAAAATTAACTTTATTGTGATATACTTTAAAATGTATTAAATATTAATTTATATTTTTATTTATTAAATATACTTAAGGAATTTATTAAACAAAACATACATTGTTACATGTGTCACGTATCTTTCCCTAAAATTCCCAACTGGTACTGGTTACACTTTCTTTAAACCCTTGAACATCCTTCTATAGGAAAGCCATATTTCTGCAGAAAATATACAATGTAATAGATAACTATATAATTCATTAAATATTCTAACATATATATAAATTCCTTGGGATATTCGGGTATAAGGAAGTCAGATTTGTGCTAGAAATATACTTTAAGTTTGGTTATAGATAAATTATTTAAATTAAATAATTAAGCTTGAACTAAAATAATGAAAACAAGAAAGGAAGCTAACTTCGGCACGCCGAAGTTTGTATACCCTTGCAGATATTATTTCATTACATTTTACCTATACTTATTATGTTTACAGTTTGACAGTTACAGTTTTGCATTCCCAGCTTTACATTTTGTATACATCTACCGATCGGTTTATATGGCAGCTATATGATATAGTTGTCCGATTTTTATGAAATTTATACCAAAATTCTAGAACAATAAAAAAAGCCTATATCTCAGAGTAGATACAAATACGTTGAAAAACAACGAAGCTATAATTTTTTTCCTATTAATTTCCCGATCGTTCCTATGGCAGCTATATCATATAGTCGTCCGATTTTCATAAAATT